ACTCTCCCCAAGCTTGGTCGTCCTGTAAAAATGACTGCAAGAGCACAGCGCAGAATGCTGCATGAGGTAAAGAAGAATCCCAGAGTGTCAGCTAAAGACCTTCAGAAATCTCTGGCACATGCTAACATTTTTGTTGACACATCTACAATAAGGAAAACATTAAACAAGAATGGAGTACATGGGAGGACACCACGGAGGAAGCCATTGCTGTCCAAAAAGAATATTGCAGCACGTTTGAAGTTTGCAAAAGAGCACCTGGATGTTCCACAGCACTACTGGCAAAATATACTGTGGACAGATGAAACCAAGATTGAGTTGTTTGGGAAGAACACACAACACTATGTGTGGAGAAAAAAAGGCACATTAAAACCTCATCCCCACTGTAAAACATGGCGGAGGGAGCATCATGGTTTGGGGCTGCTTTGCTGCCTCAGGGCCTGGACGGATTGTTGTCATTGATGGGAAAATGAATCCAAGAGTTTATCAAGACATTTTGCAGGAAAACGTACGACCATCTGTCCGCCAACTGAAGTTCCGCAGAGGATGGGTGATGCAACAGGACAATGACCCAAAGCATACAAGTAATTCAACAAAACAATGACTGCAACAGCAAAGAATACGCCTTCTGGAGTGGCCCAGTCAGAGTCCTGACCTCAACCTGATTGAAATGCTGTGGCATGACCTTAAGAGAGCGATTCACACCAGACATCCCAAGAATATTGCTACACTGAAACAGTTTTGTGAAGAGGAGTGGTCCAAAATTACTCCACATCATTGTGCAGGTCTGATCTGCAACTACAGGAAACATTTGGTTGAGGTTATTGCTGCCAAAGGAGGGTCAACCAGTTATTAAGTCCAAAGGTTCACATACTTTTTCCTCCCTGCACTGTGAATGTTTACATGTTATGTGCAATTAAACCATGGCAACATCTAATGTTTGTGTAGTATTATGTTCAGCAGACTGTGTTCTTCTATTGTTGCGACTTAGATGACGTTCAGAGCACATTTTATGCCCAATTCATGCAAAACTCCACGTAATCCCAAGGGGTTCACATACATTTTCTTGCAACTGTAATAGAACCCATATCTCTCTATAAAAAGTACCTTTTGTTGTCAATTGCTATTACATTGGATATTTATATTCCCTGTGATAACAATAAAAAAGATTAAACAAAAGCAACAATGTAAAAAATAAATAATTAAAAAAAACTTTAAAGCACCCCCATCCCCTGTGTTTGTGTGCAAAAGGCAATCGCAAGCGTCAGATCAGGGGCAGTATTTCTAACACCAGACCTCCTATGTGTATATATATATATATATATATATATATATATATATATATATATATATATGTAGGGATAACCTGTGAAGGCTTTTAAAGTGTCACCTATGGATAATAAAATTTTGTTTGTTGCCATTGCATGGGTGTGAATAATTTTAAAAGATGACATGTTTGGTATCTATTTACTCAGCATCACATCATCTTTTAAATTTTACCAAACAATTGGGTATTATATTGTGCTTTTGTGCATGAAAATTCCAAAAGACGGATTTTTTTCCCAAAAATTGTGCTTGAAGAACCTCTGCGCAAATACCGCGTGACTTAAAAATACAACCACCATCTTATTTTCTTGGGCCTCTGCTTTAAAAAATATATTATGTTTGGGGGTTCTGAGTAATTTTCTAGCAAAAGAAAAATATTTTTACATGTAAAAAAGAAGTGCCCGGAAAGGCTTGATCTTTAAGTGGATTTTATTGACAAACCACCTATCACCATACCTAAGTGCTGACAGTTAGAAAGCGGTATGGAGGTGGGGGGTTGGTGTACCTAGTTCTCCATACAGTGAACATTACTTTAGGATTTTCTTGGTTTTCAGCAGTCGTTGGTTGGGGTGGGGTGACAGTATTAGGATGGGCAAGGTAAGTAAGTACCTTATGAAACCTGTTGTACAATATTAGTGATACTTTATTTAGGTTGTGAAATGTACTGTAGTGTATTTAGTGGATACTGGAGCTGTTTCCCTCAGCCACCAGTGAGATTCATTCTTGCCCTAAATGTCTATGTCTGATTAGTGTCTTGTCGAAACAGCCTTAGTTCAAAGAAAACATAATTTGGTACATTGAACCCTTGTTAGCTTATTGGCACATAGTATATCATTATTCTTCTTTTTACTGCCTTGTTGAATAAGCAGTATCTGGAGTAACCCACAACATCCAGTACGATTTTTAGGTACCAATATTCAGGTCAGTTAAGAGCTGAACATATTTGATTACATAGCAGCTGGAATTGATGCATCATAGATATAGGGATGAGGAAACCTACCAGGGCTAGGTTCAGGGGGATTTAATTAAATCCTATTTGAAATCCATGAAACCTGAACTTAGTAGTGAATGCCATTGGAATCTTAGGGAGGAAATCTGATAATAAAATCTAAAGTTCTGGTAATTTTGAAAGGCTAAATATGCCATTATCAAGAGCTAATTGGCCTGAAATGACCAATGGAAGTAACAGCCACCACAAAAGATCTGAAAACTGTAACACATTGAATTGTCATAATATAAGTTCAAAATTACAACCCCACATTCCCCCAATCCCCCTTCTATTCCCATATTCTCAAGAATTCCAAAAATTTGCTAGCACTGGAATAGGGTAAAAGCTTTGAGACAAAAAGCAGAATTTACTCTGCAGCAAACTGTCCCAGCTGTTGAAATATTGTGAGGTACCTTTGCAGTGATTGAGCACTGGAATTGGCTAAGAGAGTTGTCAGGAACTGGAAGTGTTGGCAGGTATCATTTGTTTTGGGGACATATTACATTTAAAAGTTTTGTCTGTTGCATCAGAAGCACGTTTTGTATTCATTGGTAACCCTAACCTGGTTCATTTCAATTAAAGTGAACTGGTCCATACTATCAGGGGCCTCTTAGTAACAAAACCTCCTGCTGCTTTGAAGGCCTCTCTCTCAGAGAGCACACTGGCGGCAGAGCAAGTCAAACAAACAAGTGCATACTGTGCAAACTCTGGAGTGTGCTGTGCCTGTATAGCATGGTCATTCAAAACAGAAAAGAACTTGTTCTGCCCATATTACCTCCACATGTAGAACCTCTGCCTATCTCCTAGTCTTGCTTAATATTGATAATAAAGGGAATAGTGTCAGCTATGACAACAGGGGGAATACAGTTGTGGTGCGTTGGGGCACACTACATTCATATCCAAGTATGCAGTAAGGTGCTGCAAACAAAGCTTTGCCTCTATCAGAAACATCTAACATCCAACCCTAATTTTAAAAGTCCTCCATTTATAAGTGATCTCTTATAGTAATTTTTATCATATAGATGTTATTATTAATACATGGTAAAACATCTACACAGTCTGGAGTGTTATACTTCGTGACCCCATATAATATACGTAATTCCTCCTAGATTGTAAGCTCCAAGGAGCAGGGCCCTACTATCCCTCTTGTATTGAACTGTATTGTTGCTGTATTGTCTCCCATTATATTGTAAAGTGCTGAGCAACTGTTGGCACTATATAAATCCTGTATAATAATAATAATCACATTTAACAGCATCATTCTGGTATCTGCTACATGTTCAAGATTGTATATACACTGGATCTTCATTATGGTACCCTCTGCAGCCCAGTAGCAATAGAATAGGAAAATGATTAACAGTACAGTGTGGGTAAAGACATTGTGGTTCCTAAAATCTATTATTAAGGGTGGAAGCGCACTCATTCTTGAGGATCATTTAATAATAGTGAACCTTTCACATTTGGACTGGTTAATGTGGCTGTTTATGTCTTTTCATATTTTATGATTTTCTATGAATTTTTGCCTATTGTGGAAATGAGGATTAATTTCTGAGCGCCCCTTCTTTTATTATATTATATTGGACAGTGGGTTTATATACCATTCTAGCTGGCTGCTGTATAATAGGTTGATAGGAGTGCAGTGATTATATGTACATATCTATACAAAGAGGTCTGCTGGAAACCAGCCCTTATAAAGTGAGCGGGTAGCACATAATAAACCTGTATTAATGACCCTTTGAAACAAATTGACCTAAGTTCAAAGGCCATGCAGTGCACTATGGTTACAAAACATTTGGTCTGGCAAATTCCCCCATGAATTCACCAGGTCCATGAACCTTGGACATGCAGAATTCCCTGCGAACCCATTGTAGTAGCAAACCGTAAGCTTACCCCTAGTTAGGTAGACCTGAAAGACTTAGAATTTACCAAACACACTGAAGAATATTTAAAATCTAAAACATTTTTGGAAAGGGAAGACACAGTAAAACAATAATGAAAACAAGAACAAAGTAAGATGAGATATGTGCAAAATATGTAGCTGCTGCGTTTATAATAGTTCTTAATTATCACTGAACTGTTTCCAGAAGAAGAGATTTCAGGCATGCACCCATGAACTACCTAATTTATTATGAAGGCCAAGCAGAAAAACAACATACACATACTCATGTATATGCACTCTTGGGTCTATAAAGATGTAAATGTTATTTGTTCTTAGAAGCAGCTTGGACATATAATAACATAAATCAGGCATCCCCTGCTGCTATCCATGGTACTGAATAATTTATAATACTGCTAGACATAATGTCCATATAATATATATGAATATGTACAGTATATGAAGACAAACCACTACACACAAACTGCCTAAATGGGAATAATACAGCACAAAATAAAGTTCTCTATGCTGGAGATTTGGGAACACTATACAAAAACCTAGATGAGAAAACTGCACATACATCTGTATGTAATATATTACTTTTCTGTATGCAAAAACTTAAAAATGTATCATGTTTTTTAGAGAAAGAAAAAGGAAAAAAAAATATATATATATACCATGCTCAGCATAAATGAGCACACCCCTTTTGAAAAGTAAGATTTTAATCAATATCTCAATGAACACAAGAACAATTTCCAAACTTTTGACAAAACTCAGTTTTATAGAACATTTGTTTAGCTCATTACATAAAAGTAAGGTTAATAATATAACTTAGTGTAGCAATACCCCTGTAGGAGCTGCTTAAGTTTGTTCACTCCGTTACTCTGCTTCTCAACTCCAAACATTGTCTCAGCCCCAACTGACACACCTGGCAATAGTGTGAGTGCAAGGACCAATGAAAAGCACACACTTTAGAATAAAACACAGAGATCAGCATTACTGTAAGACCTCTATGGAATGTAATAAACAATAATGACAGGTATACATTAGGTGAATCAAGAGAACAGCAAATACTGTGACTGAAAGCAATATAGCTCACTTTTACACTCAGGCCTCTTTCAGGGGATTCCAACCATGAATAACCCCAAGAGCAGAGGCAAACACTTAAATGGCAACCTCAAAGTGGGGTTTAACTTCTCTACATAAATTTGGCTCTATGATGTCCAAGCAGGAGGAGAGCAGAAGAATGACTCTCCGTTGTGTCCAACTTCTCCCTTCTAACCCCCGACACCACAAGCCCAGTAGGCAAACACTGTGTCCAACTCATGCTTAATAGCTACTTTCCAAGGTAAAGCTATTCCCTCACACACTGCAATATAGAGGCCTGAATACACATGCGTGTGCCCGTATGGCACCAGTAACTTCAGTCTTTTGGTAACAGGATGAATCTTGGGGTCTTCAGCTAGCCACTTTTGTTGGTGCTCTTAAACTCCTATGGTAAAGTATAATTGCAATTCCGTGGCAGTATTTGTATAGCAAAGCAAATACTGTGTCAGTTTAGCAGGGCCATCTACACAACCAAGTGCCTGGTGAGTATGGGTAAAGTGTGATGTCTCTGTATGTGTTGTGACAGTGTGGTGATCTGTCACCCAGGATTCTCAACAAGGCAGGTTGAGGGGCTCCAGGGTAAGTGTTTGATACAGAGGAAAGTGGCTTTTCACTTTCCTCCTTTGTTTGTAAGGTCTGTTTTGGGATCTGGAGCCTGGAGATTTCAAAGAGATCTGGGAGGGATGAAATCTCCAATCCTGGGCCCACATTTTGAGAGCAGCCAGCACGATGTATGCACGTGTGTGCAGGCCTTTTTGTGGAGGCCAGGCCATGATTCTGGGCTCCACCTTGGCAGACGGAGTCAGGAGGGCTCCACCCCGGCAGACAGGAGGTCTCTGCTGTGGAGTCAGGTGGGCTTCACCTAGTAGAGGTGGGAGCCAGAATAGCTGTGTGCTAAAGGTTTGCTGTGTGCTTTAACAAGAAAAGCTCTACCATTCTGAAGCGAGTTCCCACAGTGTGCAGTGTTCCTGTCATCTGCCAGTGGGCAAAATCCCTCTCACCAGATCCTGTGACTAAGGCCCAAATGATTGCCCTGGAAACGATAAGCTCCTCTGGTCACCTCACGATGAGCGCTTCACACTGTCGGTATAGGCACTGTACTGCAGGCTCACCTCTCTTAGCTTGGATGTTCCCCTGCCACATGCAGACCTTTTTTTTCCCCCTCAGGAAAAAACAAGATCGAGACTTTCCTTCTGCTCTCACTGGTTTCTGTAGTTCCATCCCTAATAATATCAGCATATCAGGCCATTTTTGTTCAAGACTGCATATTCAACAGTGCTTTGCAGCTGCACCTCCTGCTTGAGAAAGTCCCTGTCATTGGCTCCTTTAATGGCTCTTCTGATTGGCTCTAATCCTATCTGTACCTGCTTTAACCTGCTGACTTGCATCTCCTGTGAAACTTGACACTTGCACTGGAAAAAGACAAGGCAGTGAGGTATTTCAGCCCCTCTCTTCTCCTCTCAGACTGTAATAGAGAGAATTTCCTCCGCTACATTAGATTACAAAATCTTCAGTTTTACTCAAATTAGTTGATGCAAAAATGAATACACCCCACAATAAAAACTACTACATCTAGTATTTTGTATGACCTCCATGATTTGTAAGGACAGCAGCAAGTCTTCTAGACATGGAATGAACAAGTTGGTGACATATTGCAACATCTATCTTTTTCCATTTTTCAAGAACGACCTCTTTTAGAGCCTGGATGCTGGATGGAGAGTGATGCTCAACTTGTCTCTTCAGAATTCCCCATAGGTGTTTGATTGGGTTCAGATCAGGAGACATACAGTACTTGGCCACTGATTAACTTTCACCCTGTTCTTCTTCAGAAATGCAACAGTGGCCTTAGATATGTTTTGGATCATTGTAATGTTGGAAAAGTGCACTGTGACCAAGGGTACGGAGTGATAGTAACATCTTCTCTTTCAATATAGAGCAGTACATCTGTGAATTAATGATTCCATCAATAAAATGCAGCTCTCCGACACCAGCAGCACTCATACAGCCCCACAGAAGGACACTGCCCCTACCATGTTTCACTGTAGGCACCATGCATTTTTCTTTGTACTCTTCCTCTTTGTGATGCCATACAGTTTTGAAGCTATCGGTTCCAAATAACATTTATCTTGGTCTCATCACTCCAGAGTACAGAGTCACAGTAGTCTTCTTCTTTTTCAGCATGGGCCCTGGCAAATTCTAGAAGGGCTTTTTTGTGCATGGGCTTTAGGGGAGTCTTCCTTCGTGGATGATACTCATGCATGCCATTCCTCTACAGTATATGTCACATTGTGCTTATAAATAAATAAAATATAAGAATGAATGGTGTATCATGATTGAAATTTGTGAAAACAAATAAATTAATATTAAACATAGCTAATTATATAAAATAATTCATATCATATTAATACATCACAAAATATGCAATCCTTATGACAGTGTGCAAGGTGCAAATTTCCCTCAGTGAAAAACTTGTAATTTGATAAATAAAATAAAAAAGTGGATGAGAAGGATAAATGAAAAATATATAGGAAATAATAACATTTTTTAAATAAATAAATAATAATCAAAAAGTCTCTGAATAAACGACAATTATATCCCACTGTGCAAAATGAATGTCCAGCTTTGATGGATATACTCTCCTTCTATATGAAGATCTGATCTTTGCTGTGATGTTGAGAACCTGTATGGCTGCAGGACTGTGAGGGATACTCCCTTCTTTGATCCACTCCTTAGTCCTCTGCCTTTGTATTCCTCGTGTATAACATGTAAGAAAAGGAATAAAAGATATGGTGCCTTATCCCAGGGGTAAAACCGCCTTTTATTGTGCTTCTCTATTGCACTCACATTTTAAAAGTAACAAAAGCGCTTTGTATATATATAAAAACTCCCGCAGCTTATAGCTGAATCAAACGAGCGGTGTGTGTCAACACACCCTCAGTACTCGCCGTATCGTTGTTAGATTGCGCGATGATGTCACTGCCCCTCCCCAGCGTGTTGCACCACAGGGATTTCGTAGCTTCGTCCGGGGGATGATGTGACACATCATCCCCCGGACGAAGCTACGAAATCCCTGTGATACAACTGCTCCTTCCGTCACTCCTTCCGTCACTCCGGCCACTCCCTCACTCCTGCCGCTCGGCTCCACCTCCTCACCGGTGATTGGCCGCCAGAACTGTAGCTCAGGAAAGGTACACAGGCGGCCAATCACGGGCGAGGAGGCGGAGCCAAGCGGACCCACGAAAATCGAGTGAGGGAAAAGTTGCTAAGTGTGCAGTGCAGAGGTGCTGCTGCAACCACATATGCTGGCTGCAGCAACACCATACTGCAACAGGGGTCAGCAAGTGTCATTGGTGTCAGTGGGAGGAATAGTGCCGCATCATTGGTGTCACTGATACTAATGATGGGGCATTATTCCTCCTACTGACACCAACGATGGGGCACTATTCCTCCCACTGACACCAATGATGGGGCACTATTCCTCCCACTGATACTAATGATGGGGCATTATTCCTCCCACTGACACCAACGATGGGGCACTATTCCTCCCAGTGATACCAATGATGGGGCACTATTCCTCCCACTGATACCAATGATCGGGCACTATTCCTCTCACTGACACTAATGATGGGGCACTATTCCTCCCACTGACACCAATGATGGGGCACTATTCCTCCCAGTGATACCAATGATGGGGCACTATTCCTTCCAGTGATACCAATGATCGGGCACTATTCCTCCCACTGACACCAATGATGGGGCACTATTCCTCCCACTGATACCAATGATGGGGCACTATTCCTCCCACTGACACCAATGATGGGGCACTATTCCTCCCACTGACACCAATGATGGGACACTATTCCTCCCACTGATACCAATGATGGGGCACTATTTCCACTTACAGAGCTATTTTACTGTTTTTCTTTTAAATAAATATTCATGTGATTTTATTGGTCTCTATCTTTATTTTTTACATTGACTAGTAGGTGCCTCATTTCCCACCCTCGGCTTATACTCGAGTCAATAGTTTTTCCCAGTTTTTTTGTGGTAAAATTAGGCTTATATTCGGGTCGGCTTATACTCGAGTATATACGGTATGTTTAATATTAATGTATTTGTTTTCACAAATTTCAATCATGATACACCATTCATTCTTATATTTTTATTTATTTATAAGCACATAGCACTTTTGATTTATTCGTTTTGTGGATATTAGAGCGCGGTTAACATTTAAATTAATTTCTGAAAAATGCACATCAGAAGAGAGTGGGCTTACTAACCAGCGATCTAGTACTTATACCTTCATAATATACCTCAGTGGCTCGCAAGCTAATTTGTTTGTAATATGCCACATTGTGTCGTGGGAAACAAACACCCCAGTTTGACTTTCTACTTCTTAAGCTAACTGCAGTGAACTTGCATGGGGATTTTCTTCAACCCTTCTCATCAGAAGATTCTCCTGTTGAGGAGTTAACTTCTGTGGACAACCTGGACATCTCTATGAGATGGTTGCAGTTCCATCTTTAACGTTTTTGTATCACTTTTGCTGCAGTATTCTGACTGATAAGTAAAGTTTTGCTTATCTTCTTGTAGCCTTCACCTTTCTTGTGTAAAGAAAATAATTTCTCAGGCCTTGTGACATTTCTCTTCCATGTGGTGCCATTGCTGACAGCATCAAATGGGAAGGGATTTTCTTTAAGTAATTCCCTTTTATAATCAACTGTCCGCTGGACACCTGTTTAATGAATAATTAGACTCGCCTGTAGTTGATCTCTTGTTAATTAGAATGTTGTCTAAAATTTAGCTTTGCTCCTAGGACTTTCATTGAGGTGTACTCATTTTTGAAACATGGTTGTGAATGAATTTGTTAGGAAAAAAAATGTTGTGTGTGTGCAAATGAACAAACCTTGTCTGCAATCAATGGCCCACATTTGTGGGAGTATTTTGTAGTACAGTGTCCCAGTGAAATTGTTGATACTGAAAGGAAAGGAAAGGTTTTCTGACAAATCCGTTGGGGTGTACTCATTTATGCACTATATATATATATATATATATATATATATATATATATATAAATTCAGGCATCACTAAAAGGTGGACCATGGTTTGGAAAAGGACCAAGCCACTGTTTCATTCAGACCTATGGTCATGCCATTCAGGAGCTGCTTCTTTCCCCCAGCCTCCACCGCTGTTATGTGCCACTGAGTGTGAGAGGTACAGAACGCATTGAATGGAGTGCAAGAGCTGCGGGGGTTAACTGTTCAAGGTAACCAGCAGGTGATTGGATGCAGGGCAGTCCTAGCAGCTAATCACCTGCTTGTTAATACAAAAAGTTAACCCCGGCAGGTCCCATTCCTGTACTCAGTTCAATGCTGTGCTATGCCTCCCACATTCAGACCAGAAATATTCTGCCTCCAGTTCTCCTCTCTGTCTAAGGTAGAAGAGTGAAGTAGGGGCAGAGGACATTACCCTCGCTGTGTGTTTGTGGGGGGAATGATGTGAAGGGGTCAGTGCTGGGTGGGAGGGATGAAAGTGTGAAAAGGGGTGATGTAAAGGGAGAAGGTAGTGCTGTGTGGGGTGATGTAAAGGGAGGGGCAGTGCTGTGGGCAAGGATAAAATGTGAAGAGGGGCAGTGCTGTGGGGGGGGGATGTAGATGGAGGGGGCAGTGCTGTGGGGGGTGATGTAAAGGTGGACAATGTTGAGGAGGTGAGATGTGGGAGGGTTGATGTGAGGACAGCAGAGCCTATTACTGTGAGGTGATGTTGTGACGTGAGGGGGAGCAGTGCTTTGAGGGGGCAGTACTATGGGGTGTTTGACATGAAGAGGACAGAGCACACTACTATTGGGGGGATTTGTAATGTGAGAGGGGGAAGTGCTGGGGGGAATGTAAAGGGGAGTGCAGGGGTGGGCTGACAACTCATGGGGCCCCCGGGCAATAGGGGATCATGGAGCCCCTGTGTTCTTGCCCACACTCATAGCACACCCAAAAAAGCCTATAAAAGGTACCAGGGGCATTTCCTGGGGCCCCCTACTGACCCCGGGCCCTCGAGCAGTGTCCGAGTGCTCGAATGGTCAGTCCGCCCCTGGGTGAGTGGCAGTGCTGTGGGGGGTTGTAAAGGGGGGGGCAATGTTGTGGGGGGATGTGAATGGGGCACAGTTCTGGGGGGGGTTGATATGAAGGGGCAGAGGACAGTGTTGTGGGAGGTTGATGTGAAGGGAAAGAGGACAGTACTGTAGGGTAGGGGTGATTGGGGAAGGCTGTGAATAAAGGGGGGTGTCATGTGAAGGGGGTTCAGTACACTATTGTAAATGGGGGGTGATATGCAGGTGGCATGAGAACACTACTGTGGAGGGGAAACTGATGTTTGGGGGGACTGAGGACACTGATGTAAGGAATTGTGATATAGGAGGAGGAGGGCTGAAAAAAATGGTGGTTCAGACCTCAGCTGGAAGAAAATTTTACTGGTCGGACCTCCATGAATTTTAATTCAATACTCCTGATTTATACAGTATATAATGAAATATAAGAACCTTAAGTTTCAAAATGCCCTTCTCATTGTGTCTTCTATATCCATTAACTATAACAAACAAAGGGAATTTATTTCCTGTTACATACTTATTTATACCTGACACATCAGTGTGCATGTTAGCTTGGAGAGGTGCTAAAAGGGCCACAAACATCAGCTTTTACATTGGGGGAATAAATAGTACATATTCTTGATATTACAATATTGAACTAAAACTACAGCTAGTTTTTTTTCAGGTGTCTGAGA